GCCACTGTAATTGAGTCCATCCACCTTGGTGTTAGCTGTCCTCTTTTCTTCCACATTTCCAACCATTAGAGCCTTCTCCAAAGAGCTAAGTCTTTGCATAATGTGTTCAAAGTACAAAAATTTGAACCTGGTCATTTGTGTCTTGATTGAGAATTCTGGGTTGTTCAACGTGTAAGAGTTGCCGCATTCATCACTGAATAAAGACTCCATGAGATGCAGGCTCGTACAAAAGCAATTTACTCAGGTGTAATGCAGGTGATTACAAAGCCAGGGTTGGCTTGGCACAGGTTACATAGCATTTTATAGTCTCCCGGTTCCCGCGCTTAGCAAGTCCTGCCTGTTGACCACCCCTGCCCACCCTTGCCTTGCCCCTTGCCCCCAGCTCTCCCTGCCTCGGTCTGATGGCAGGTTCAGCCAGGGTCCTTTGTCTTCGGCTGTCTTGCTCACGAGGCAGGTCCCATGCGGCCGACTCACGATTGCGCTTGATGGGCGGTTGAGCGCGGCTTGAGCTGCAGAGCTCTTTGTTTCTATTGTCGGCTGCTTGCCTGCAGCGGCTTGTCAGAACCTGCATCAACCAACAATTGTTAATTTACAAAGCATAGCAGTCAATGGGAGTTTGATTGATTTGCTTCTGCGAATTGGGACTAGGGAGGGGGGCTAGTAGTTAATGGTTGTAATAGCAGTAATGGGAGATGGTGAGGAGCTTAACCTTATATGGGCAATGAGGCCGGACCTGATTGCAGGCAAGGCCAGTGAGGGGCCTGATGGCCAGGAAGGAGCTATGTATCCGTGGGAGGAAGGAAAAAGGTCACCACCAGGTGAAGAGGAATTGAGGCGCCAGGGCAACAAGGGGAGGGGGGATAAATAGAGGGAAGTTTTCCAAGGCTTTAGTTTTAGCAAGGTTTTGTTTCAAGCTGTATGTACCACACAACAAAGGAGCATTTATCTGAACCAGGTCTGGTTTCATGAGAATTCTTCTGAATTGGGGTTTGGACTTTGTGGACTTGACAGTAATTGAATCCTGCCGCGGGCTGATTGCCGCCACCTGCACCTGTCGGCAGTTTACATGAGGTTAGCGCTTCCTCTTTCGATCGCCTGCACCTGAGGCAAGGAAGCTGACCAGGCGCATTTGAACTTAGCTAGGCGGAATGGCGGCTAGCTTGAATGGTGTGTGCTGGGCCAGGCTGAACCTGACCCAGTGATCCATTGGTTTGTTTCCTTGGCTGTCCACAGTATTCTCAGGAGTCTTCTCCAACACCAAAGGTCAAAAGCATCAATGGTCTTCCTATCCTGCTTCTTGAAAGTCCAACTTTGGCTTCCATAGAGTGTCACAGAGAATACCATGGTTTGCGTGATTCTGCTCTTTGTAGGTATAGATGCTTCACAATGTTTGAATATCTTTTCTTTTTTTATAATAATTTTTATTAAAGTTTACAAATAGATAAACTAATACAAAGTAAGAATATAAAAATAAAAAGCGCTGAGAAAAAGAAAAATATAATAAAAAAGATATATAAAGAAATTATTCCCTCCTTCCTCCAGACAAGTACAATCAACTTCAGTAACTCACCTTCTCTGATATTTCAATAAATGATCTCTTTTTCCCATATCTCACCTCTTATCAACAGACAAATTATAAAATCTCATCATTCAGTCCTAATCAGCAAAAGTCTATTAAGAGCTACCGGGAATAATAACATATATATTTTAATCTTAACCGAATAAATCAGTTTTATATTCCTTTACTTGTAACTTATAAGTTACAGGTAAAGGAATATAAGAATACACAGTAACTTATCACTTTCTGTAAAAATACAGCAAAAGAAATCTCTTCCCATATCTTATCTATTATCTATAAACAAATCTTTAAAACCTCATCATTCCATCCTAGTAAAAAAAAGTCCACTAAGAGCTACCAGAAACAATAGCATACCGTATTTTTCCATCAATAAGATGCCCCCATGTACAAGACGACCCCCACTTTTCCAACCCAAAATTAAGAAATCAAT